CACCTGTGGGTTCGCTCAAGACCGAACGCTCGCGCGTTCGTCTTGGGCGCCGGGAGGTGCCGCGTCGCTGCCAGCCTTCTGTCCGACACCGCGTCCAACGTGACCATGCGGGCCGGCGCGCTAGCCAGCTCGACCTCCCTGGTAAGCCACCACGTTTCAGCGACGAGGGCTCGCCAGGACGCCCACGGACCTCCTGGCACGAGAGACCTTTCCTCTCGGGGCAGGCGGCTGATCCAATCCACGGGGAGCCCCTCTATGCGGCGCCTGCGTTGCAGCGCGCATGAAAGTGCGGGCCAAGCAACAGCCGCAACACATTCTAGCACCGAAGATGCCAAAGCTTCCGAGCATAGACCTTTGGCTCTAATGGATCAGGCTGCTCTGGGGACTATACCGTGGCTTTGCTGCGTCCTAATGCCCCCCCCCCTGGCCGTGGCGGTCCCAGCAAAAACTTCCCGGCTGCGCGAACCAGAAGCAGGTACCTGAGCGCCCCAAATGTTGTGAACCTTCGCAAATGAGAACTCAAACCCCCACGCGAATGAAGCGAAGCAAGACCGCCACCGCACCCCTGAATCCCTCTCGAATGCTTCCATCTGGGCTCAATCGGGAGCAAGGTTTTGACGGGGTTGGGCCTGAGTCCCATCGACAGCGCGGCAACACGCACAATCTCAGAAAATGTCAAGGCCACCTTGGGCACCTCCTTTGCTGCTTCCACGATTAGGAAACCGTCCAGTCATCAACGGAAGAGAGATCACGCTCTACCCGTTCCCACTCCCTCTGCGAAGCACATGCAAGCTCGGGTTGCTCGAAGGCGTCCTTGACAGCACAACCAAGCAGGGCAACATCTTTTTTTGAACCTCTTGGCGGCTTCTTCTTCTTCGCGCACACAACCGGTCTAATTTGGGATCGCCCGTGGCCCTCACGGCAGTCCTCGCAGGCCACTCGTGGGGAGGCCGCGCTCGAGCCTCCGCAGGGCTCACTGGCCCGCCCACTGGCCCGCGCGCCGCTGGCTGCTTGCAGGGCGACCTTGCCCAGGGCTTCACAAGACTTGTTCGCCAGGCATCGCGAGCAGTGGGCGCCACATCGGCATGTGCACCTCTGCTGGGTGAGCCTGCCCTCCGCCTCCCGCCCCCCGCCGCCCCCCCCCACCGGCCTCCCTCCGCCCCCCCCCCCCCCCATGCCCACCCCTACCGACCGCTCCTCCAAGAAAGGACCACTCTCACGACTCAGCGCTGCCCCTGTAGTGTTCGCTGGCCGACCACACAACGAACCAGGCGCTAAAAAAGATCGCCCTTAACCAAGGGGGGACCATCTGGACTCGCCCCTCTCCAAGGAACATGGCGAGCGCGCCCGTTCTAAAGTACAGAGGCACATCACTAAATTATTGAGAAGCCGACTCGGATGTATCGACGGACTCTGCAATCTTGCCCACCAAGCTTCCGCACCATACTCAGAAGGTGTCCAAACATCCACCACCTCCTGCTCATGTATGCTAAACCACAAAGTTCAAACTGCAAATCAGGCGAGCGACCGTCGTCCCTCTCCAAGGAATATGACGAGCGCGCCCAAATCAAATGTAAAAAATCACCGAACATTACCCCTCCACTCTTGACCAACCAGTTTCCGCATCAGGCTCAGCAGGTGTACGAACATCCATAACCTCCTGCTTGTGTGCGCAAAACCGAATTCAAACTGCAAGGATGCAAGTCCTGCTAGCGACTGTCCCTCTCCCAGGGACCTGACGAGCGCGCCCTATCTAAATGAAGAGGCACAGAACTACGCAATTAACCAACACGCTGCCGCACCATACTCAGAAGGTGTCCAAACATCCATCACATCCGCTTAGGTGCGCAGGGCCAAAAAGTTCAAATTGCAAGGTCTGCAAGTCGGGCTATAGCGGCCGTCCCTCTCCAAGGAGCACGACGAGCTCCAAAGCATGAGGAGCGGCCGTCCCTCTCCCGCTCTAAAAGCGCAGCTGTACCGAACCAAATCATCGAACTGGACAGAGAATCCGCTCTCGTGTCTTGGCGGGCTCCCCCTCATTGCCAAACCATCCTTCGCAAACTGCAGTGTGGGTGGCAGATATGCTTGCCTGCTTGTCTGAGCGTGAAACTCGAACGGGAAGGCTTCGAACCCGGCCAGCGGCTGACAGCGGAAGTGGGCGCGGCGGCGGGCCCAGCTCACCTACGAGAACAGGCACACACTCAACCACACACAAACGAGCAAAACACAGACACACACACACAGACACACACACAAACACGCGCACTCCCCCCTCCCACCACACACACACACCACACACACACACACACACACACACACGCACACACGCACACGCACACGCACACGCACGCACGCACGCACGCACACGCACACGCACACGCACACGCACACGCACACGCACACGCACACGCACACGCACACGCACACGCACACGCACACACACACACACCAAAAAAATACGCCGAACTCATCAATCAGAACGTGGTATAGTACACGGCATGCCCAGGACTACGCGGCATGCCTGTCCACGAAGGCGCCGTGCGATGCTGAGCAAATCCGACATTTAAGCGTGTGAGCCTGTGCTGCCAGTCACAGCTTGCCTCGCCTCCTCGGAGCTCACATGCTGACACGGGGTTGCGCGTGGAACCTGAGCCCGCCTGCAGACTGGGCACTTGAGCGTGGCATCGCCCGTCTGCAGCCACCAGCCATCGATGCAGTCGGGATGATACATATGCCCGCAGCCCAGGCGGCGACACGGCTCGGCGCGCCCCACGGGCAACAGGCAGACGACGCACATGGGCTCGTCTGCGACCGCCGCCGGCAAAAACAGCTTGTCGAACAGCTCCCGCCCGAGGGGCATCCCCAACACCGTCGGGCTCGCCTTGGGTACGCCCTCCGCGGGGCCGGCCCCTCCGCGCGCGGCTGCACCCCTGCTGCACACGCCGCTTGCGTAGGTCACGTACAGGCCGAGCGCCACGAACGCCAGCATGCCCGCCGCGCAGGAGATTTCCAGGGCCATGCCGCTGTCATTCGAGGAAACCTGCCCCTCACCACGGGGCGAGCGCGCTGCCGCCACTGAGGCGAGAGCCGCCGCTCGCAGACAAAGCAGGGCGACCATCGCGCCCGCCTTCCTGACGTCTGCTGCGTCTGCTGGAAAGTGCGAGCCGGTGGCCCTCAGCCGAAACAGAACTTGAGCAAAATGGCTTGAGCCAAAATGGCTGCGGAAAAGCAGGGCAACATCTTTTCCAATCTTGGCGGGCACAACCCTGAACACGAAATAGCAAATGTCGGCGGCCATCACTGTGCCTGGCATAGCTCCTACCCTGGGTTCCATAAAGTCCTTTCCACCCCGCGCCTGCCAAAACGAGCCACGCTGCGTCTCACGCACCACTGATGCCCAACGAGCAGGGTATTCTGTTCAAGCCTAGCACGTACCCTAATCATGAGCAGGTAAAGTTTCACAACTGCCTGCAACGCATCCTCTAACTTGTGTTCCTCACCCGGGAGTGAGAGCGAGAACTGCTCAATGGTGCTGTAGTAGAAGGCATTAACTAAATCCGCTGGAAATGCTATCGCTAAATATTTGTTAGCGCTCGCTGCGTGGATCGCCAAGAGAAGCCCCGTGCAACGGCGCGCCAGGTCCCCTGCGGGCCACCCCGCCGCATTGCTCGGCGAAAAGACACGCACCCAAGAAATCCATGGCAAGGGACCTCACATGGCGATGGAACAGTTTACAAAATGCGCTCGCCATCGTGTTCCTCTGCGCCCTCGCGAGCTGAGGGGGTCCATATTCCTTGTGAAAGGACCCCCCGTGCTTAAAATAAATCAGCCTGGCGAGAGACCCAACCATATGCAGTTGTGAGTAACGCAGCTGTGAGCATCGTCTTCGGCGGAGCTCCTCCTGGGGCCAAGAAACGTGTACGGGGTGTGCCGAAATGAACGGGGAAGGGGCGCATGCGGCCGCGGCCACTGGGGCCGTCGGTGGAGCTCCCTATTTGGCCCCGAAGCGCTGTACTGGGTGGGGGAGGCACATGCGGGATGCGCCAATGTGACCTTCGGTGGAGCTTCCTATGGGAGCACGAAGCTTGTGAGCGGCATGCCGACATGGGTGGCGGGGACGCATGCGAACTGCGCCACTGGGACCTTCGGTGGAGCTCACAATGGGGCCACGAAACGTGGGAGGGGTGTACCGAAACGTGTGGCGGGGACGCATGCGAACTGCTCCACTGGCATCTTCGGTGGAACACTCTTTGGGGCCACGGGGCGTACGAGGGATGTACTGACATGGGTGGCGGTGTGGATATGGGTGGCGGTGGCGCATGCCCTACAAGTGCCGCTGGAAAATGGAAACAAGAGAAAAAAGAAAAATAAAACAAAAATAAAGAATAAAAAAATAGAAAGTAAAAAGAAAAAAAAAATCAAATAAGGAACAAAAGGGAAAAAAAAAAAAGAAAATAAAAAGAAAAAACGAAAAACAAAGCTTCGGTTGAACTCCCCATGGGGCAACGGAACGTGTGAGCAGCGGTGTTGGTAGGGCGGGCCGCAACGTGCGACACTGCCACTTGGCTTCGGTGGACTCTTCCACATGGGCCACGAAGCGTTTTGCGGGTTGGGCCAGACATGGGCGGCGGGGACGCGTTGCGGGCATCGCCACTGGGCCTTTCGTGGAGCTCCCTATGGGGCGCACGCAGCGTGCGAGGGGGCCACATCTCTGGAGGGTGGGACGGAGGATAGATGGACGAGGAATGAGAGGGTACCACCACCCCTTTTTTTACTCGACGAAGGGGCCTGTGTGTTGGGAGAAGGAAAGGTGTACAGTACAGCAAGATCGTCGCAAGACCCCTATCAGGTCCATATTCCCTCCCGGCGGCGCGTCTGGGGCACGCTCGACGACGCTGCTCGGGACGGAAGAGGAGGACTTCCACAACTCCTGCTTCTGCTGCACACCGCAAGGGCACGGCAGTCAGGGCCCGACTCCCCTCGGCCCGTCGCGTGCCGGCCTGCCCCGCTGGCACGCGCTGCTGCCCCATCTGAGCGGCCTGCCGCTGCGCGCGCGCGCTGGAGGGGGCGGAGGGCAGGACAGCGGAAGTCAGGAGAGAGAGGAGGAGAACACTGAGAGAGAAGGCCGAGGAGGAGGAGGAGGAGGAGGAGGAGGAGCAGGAGGAAGAGGAGGAGGAGGAGGAAAAGGAGGAGCAGATGGAGGAGGACGAAAAGGAGGAGGAGGAGGAGGAGGAGGAGGAGGAGGAGGAGCAGGGTGTATGGGACGAAAAGGAGGAGGGGGAAGAGGAGGAGGAGGAGGAGGCGGAGGAGGAAGGAGGAGGGGCGCAGGTACAGGAGGGAGCAGGAAGAGGATTAGACAGGAGGAGGAATGATGAGTCGGAGTAGGAGGCGGAGGCGGAGGGAGGAGGAGGCGGAGGAGGAGGAAGGGGGTAAGGAGGAGGAAGGGGGGAACACCGGGAGGAGGAGGAGGAGGAGGAGGAGGAGGAGGAGAAGGAGGAGGAGGAGCAGCAGGGCGAGGATAATGAGGGCGAGGCCCAGAAGGAAAAGGAGGATAAACAAGAGGATGGGGAGGAGGGGGAGGGAGGGAGAAGGAACAGAACACAGGATAAGGAGACAGGAAGGGGCGATGATGACGAGTACACAAGACCACGGGGAAGATTAGGACGGGGAGGGAGGAGGGACGAGGGTTGAGGATGAGGAGAAGGGGAGGACAGGGAGGGAGCAGGGAAGGACGAGGGAGAGGGGAATGTAGGAAGAGGAGCAGGGGCGGCAGCGTCGACGTAGGCCTGGGCTTTTCCAGCGTGTTCCAGCTTGACGTCGGAGAGCCTGATCAGTTAAGTTCGTCCTTTCGAGCGTGCTCGCATGAAGGATTTCATTGGAAAACGCATCGACCCGAACCATGGGAATCAAGGGAGCCTTGCTCTTCCCATAAAAAACCCATCCGACTCCATATAAAGCAACAATATAAAGCACCACACTTGTTCCAACAAATCGGAGGTGCGAGGTGGTGGTGCCAGTCGGGCACGACTGATACTTTGGAAAATCCATGGGTGCGTGCAGCTTATGGGAATACCAATGCTTGGTTAAACACGCTTCGTTATATTAGAGGTTGTGGAGGTTATGGGAAGAACACGGATTATCCCCTGGTGTCAAGAACACAATGTTGTTTCTAGCCAAAACATGACCTTACACATAAACATAGCATTGCTGCATATATTCGCCGGCCCAACCTGCCAAGGGCGTGCTAAGATCCCTGGTAACTGGTTAACAATATTTGTAAATCGCGCGCGCGGGCCCGCCCCTGCGGGTCCCCCGACGAAGAATACACCCCGGCAACGTCCCGGGCATATCCTGGGCGTGTCCCGGCCGGGTCCCGGCGAGGTCCTGGCCAGGTCCCAGCAGGCTCCCAAGAGCGCTCCAGGAGCGCTTCAAGTGGCCTCCAAGAGAGCTCAACATGGTCCGAGACGGTCCAAGAGCGATCCCGCCAAAGATGGCCTCCAGACAGCCCAAAGCGCCTTTAGGACGCCCCAAGAGGCCTGCAAGAGACCTCTCAAGAGGGTCCACAGAGGTAGAAATTAGCAATTTTCCCTTAGCTTTTGAAGGATTTGGTGTTCTCGCCTCTTCGGCTTACTGGCGCTCCAAGACGGTTCAAAAGGCTTCCAGGATCGTCCCCAACACGGCCCAGGAGGCCTCCAAGAGCGCCCAAAACGGCACCAGAGGGCCCCGAGACAGCCCCAGAGGCCTCCAAGACGGCCGAAGAGGCTCCCAAGACGGCTCCAAGAGCGGGCCCAGACGGGGGATCCGAACGGACACTTCAAGCTCTAGGCGCAGAGAAATCCCCTGGAGGCCCCAAGAGGCCCTCAAGACGCTCCCAAGAGGACCCCGACAGGCCCCAAGAGACCCCCAAGAGGCCCCCTAGATGCCCCCGTGACGCCCAAGGAGGTCCCAGAAATATCGCCAAGAGACCAAAAAGAGGCTCCAAGAGGCCACGAACGCGCAGGCAAACGCCTGCGATGGCACAATACGGGCCAGCCGAGTGAGCGAAGCGATTAAATGCACGATTCACACGTCTTCTAAAAAAAGGTCTAGAATGCGAGAGGGTGGTGCCAATCGAGCATGTTCGTTCTCTGGGAAAAACTGTAGCTTTTTGAAGCTATGGAAACTCTTAACCTTGGTCATTGTTCTTTTATCCAGTTTAATGGACCTTGTTATCATAGCGAGGTTCCTCGCCATGGTCTCAAGACATCAACCACCACAACAGCGACCACAACAATAACCACGACAACAACCACCACCGACGGTGCCTACGAGTGGAGCTAACAAAAGGAAGAACCCTTTTGAAGCAATCGACCCTGGCACCAACGGCGGCAACTGCGGATACCGAGCTCTCGCGGCCAGTTGGGCGCTTCTTGGTGGCGTAGACGGGGCCACGCGTGACAACGCGCTCCAGCATGGGAAGCTGGAGCGAATGACTAAGACCTTACGGACACAACTTGCGCTGCGCATCAGCGAGGACAGGTCTTACTATGAAAATTTCTGGAGCGCTGTGCCGATGCGTGAGGACCACGAAGACGGGGCTGTGCCGACCAACTGGGACGAATATGTGATGGCTTGCAAACGGAGCAAGCGATGGATTGCGACCACTTTACCCGGCAGCCTGCGACCACTTTACCAGGCATGTCTGCACTTACATGTGTATTGGGGATACGATGCAACATGTCAACTGGGTGGACAAGGTTACCTGCTTCCCAAGGGATGCTGCGAAGGCTCGGGCTGCTGTATTACAACCGGCCCTGCACGTGGGCACCTGGAAGGGGCACTGTTACATCCTACTACCAGACGACAGTGAACGACACAAGAAAGAAACCAACCGACCGAGCCAACAGCAAGTGCAGGAACGCGTGCGCAAAGCTCATCGTTTTGGAGGGCCAAAGAGCCTGGGGAGCGAGGACTCTTAGCTGGGGCCCCTCGGGCGCGGCTCGGCGGCCAGGAGGGCACCTTCTAGCGCCCCTGACTCTTGGTTAGGGCCCCTGGGCAGGGCGCCGTCTACCCGACCAGCCGGGCGACGCCCTCCGAAGCACCGCCGACACCAGCACCGACGGCTGCTACGACCAAGCGACCGACAAGCAAACCGACCACGACACCCGTTACGACGACACGGAAGCGACAGCTCTCTGCACCAGAGCAGAGCTGGCGGACGCCCTGAAGAAGACCAGAACGCCGACGACACCACCTCCCGCGCCCAGCCGGCGGACGCCTCTACGACGGCCTGCGGCGGCTGCTCCCGCACCACTCCGGCTCTGCGCTGACTGCACAGGCGCCCGGAGGTCCACCAGCTACGTACCAGCCACGGCTGCACGTACTGGGAGTAAGAGGAGAGGTGGAGGGAACGGAGAGGGAGCGGAAGGAGGAAATACGGGACGAGGAGCGGATCAACCCCCTGTGGCTGTGACGGGGAGGGAACGGAGAGGGAGCGGAAGGAGGAAATACGGGACGAGGAGCGGATCAACCCCGTGTGGCTGTGACGGAACGCCTCACGCGGAGATGTGGGGTCTGCCAGGAACTGATTACCGCACCAGTCTGTACCAAAGCCACGCGTACAGCTTGGACTTGAAGAGCCATGGTGGAGTGATCAAAAAGGGCGAACGGTATTCTGTGCAGCCCAACTACTATCTGAACCACGAGAGGGGGAAGCATTTGAGGAACAAGCACAAAGGGGACCGCACTGGAGCTGGTACGCTGCGCGCGCCTGCTCCACCAGCTGAGCTTACCCACGCCCTTCCCGACGACCAGGCGCGCTGGAAGTGCCCTATATGTGGAATCAAGCAGGCTCCGTCGACCAACGCGGTCGCTTCGTGGAGGAGTCGGAAAGACCACAGGGAGAGGGAACACCCAGGGTTCACCCCGCAACAGTGGCGGATCCTCGCCAGACGGCAGACCCTGCTCAGGAAGTCGACAGACGGCAAGCTCGATCAGAACTACAAACGCTCTACCCCGCTCCCTCCCCTTCCGCACGAACAGGTGCGGGCCGACGGGGAGCGGCGCGTACGCAGGCGGAAAGAGCCCAATCGGATGAGGAGTCGTAAGCAAGACGACAAGGCCGCCACGGATGCCACAGCAGTGGCGCCTGCCTCTCGTTGCTGAGGCGGGTCTCGCGCCTGCCTGCCCTCCGAGAGCAATCCCTGAACCGATCAAAATTGCGACCATCAATCTCGCCTCTTGGTCACGACACGGCGTTCCGAACCCCTCTTGGAGGCAGCGGAAGCGGATGGGATAGAGGCGATCCTGGTACAAGAAACACAGGTCACGACCGCTGAGACACAGGCGGCCCGCCGGCTGGCCTCAGCGAAGGAATGGGTCTGGACTACTGGTATTGCCACAGCAACTCCCACGCTGGAACGGTACAGGCGTTCCCGCGACGAAGTAATAGTAATTGTTAGTAGTAGTAGTAGTAGTAGTAGTAGTAGTAGTAGTAGTAGTAGTAGTAGTAGTAGTAGTAGTAGTAGCAGTAGTAGTAGTAGTAGTAGTAGTAGTAGTAGTTGTGGTAGTAGTACTAGTAGTAAGTAGGAGTAGTGTAGTAGTAGTGTATAGTCGTAGTCGTAGTAGTAGTAGTAGTAGTAGTAGTAGTAGTAGTAGTAGTGGTAGTAGTAGTAGTAGTAGTAGTAGTAGTGCTAGTGGTAGTACTAGTGGTAAACGCAAAAATAAGTGTGATCGGAGTGATAACACTAGTAGTAGCACTGATAATAACACTAGTAGTACTTGTAGTAGTAGTCGTAGTCGTAGTAGTAGTAGTAGTAGTAGTAGTAGTAGTAGTAGTAGTAGTAGTAGTAGTGGTAATAGTAGTAATAATAGTAATAGTAATCGTAGCAGTACAAATATAGCAGTACTACTAGTAGTAGTAGTAGTAGTAGTAGTAGTAGTAGTAGTAGTAGTAGCAGTAGTGGTGGTAGTAGTAGTAAAAGTAGTACAAGTGGTAGTGGTGAGAGTATTCGTGCTAATTGTCCTGGCCGTAGTCGTAGTCGTCGTCGTAGTAGTCGAAGTCGTAGTAGTAGTAGCAGTAGTAGTAGTAGTAGTAGTAGTGCTAGTGATAGAAGTAATGAAACTACTACTACTACTACTACTACTACTACTACTACTACTATTACAGCTGGTAGTAGCGGTGATAACCACAGTAGTCGTAGTAGAATTAGTAGTAGTAGTAGCAGTAGTAGGAGTAGTAGTAGTGGTACAAAAAAAACACAAAGAAAATAAGAAAAAAAGAACAAAAGTAAAAATATAAAAAATATATAAAATTAAATAAAAAAAAAAGTTTCGTAGTCGCAGTCGTAGGGCGTCGTGTGGTAGTAATTCTAATATGAGTAAGTCGTAGTAGTAGTACTGTGGAAGGTGATGTTTTTGTAGTTGTGAGTAGTAGTAAGTAATATAGTAAGGGAGTAGTAGTAAGTAGTAGTAGTAGTAGTGGTAGTAGTAGTACTACTAGTAGTAGTAGTAGTAGTCGTAGTAGTAGTAGTAGTAGTAGTAGTAGTAGTAGCAATCGTCGTCGTAGTAGTAGTAGTAGTAGTAGTAGTAGTAGTAGTAGCAGAAGTAGTAGTGCGAGTAATAGTTGTAGTAGTAACTATTCGAAGCAATAGTAGTAGTGGTGGTGGTAGTAGTAGTAGTAGTGGGAGTAGTGGTCGCAGGAGTACTAACAGTAAACATAGTCGAAGTCGCAGTTGCAGTCGTAGTCGTAGTAATAATAGTCGTTGTCGTCGTCGTAATCGTAGTCGTAGTCGTAGAAGTAGAAGGCGAAGTAGTAGTAGTAGTAGTAGTAGTAGTAGCAGTAGTTGTTGTTGTAGCTGCAGTAGTGGCAACAGTAAGAGTAGCAGTAGTACTAGTCGTAGTAGTGGTAGTAGGAGTAGAAGTAATAGTAGGAGTAGTAGTGGTAATCGTAGTGGGAGTAGTAGTAGTAGTACTAATAGTAGAAGTAGTAGTGCGAGTACTCAGAGTAGTAGTAGTAGTAGTAGTAGTAGTAGTAGTAGTAGTAGTAGTAGTAGTAGTAGTAGTAGTAGGAGTAGTAGTAGTTGTAGTAGTAGTAGTAGTAGTAGTAGTAGTAGTAGTAGTAGTAGTAGTAGTAGTAGTAGTAGTAGTAGTAGTAGTACTAGTAGTAGTCTAGTAGTTGTAGGAGTAGTGGTAGTAGTAGTAGTAGTAGTAGTAGTAGTAGTAGTAGTAGTAGTAGTAGTAGTAGTAGTAGTAGTAGTAGTAGTAGTAGTAGTACGAGTAGTAGTAGTAATAGTAGTAGTAGTAGTAGTAGTAGTAGTAGTAGTAGTAGTAGTAGTAGTAGTAGTAGTGGTAGTAGGTAGTAGTAGTAGTAGTAGTAGTAGTAGTAGTAGTAGTAGTAGTAGTAGTAAGTAGTAGTACGTAGTAGTAGTAGTAGTAGTAGTAGTAGTAGTAGTAGTAGTAGTAAGTAGTAGTAGTAGTATAGTCGTAGTAGTAGTAGTAGTAGTAGTAGTAGGTAGTAGTAGTGTAGCAGTAGTAGAGTAGTAGTAGTAGTAGGAGTAGTAGTAGTAGCAGTAGTAGTAGTAGTAGTAGTAGGAGTAGTAGTAGTGGTAGTAGTAGTAGTAGTACTAGTAGTAGTAGTAGTAGCCGTAGTCGTAGTAGTAGTAGTAGTAATAGTAGTAGTAGTAGTAGTCGTAGTAGTAGTAGTAGTAGTAGTAGTGGTGGTAGTAGTAGTAGTAGTAGTAGTAGTAGTAGTAGTAGTAGTAGTAGTAGTAGTGATAGTGATAGTAGTAGTAGCAGTAGTAGTAGTAGTAGTCGTCGTCGTCGTCGTCGTCGTCGTCGTCGCCGTGGTAGTTGTGGTAGGAGGAGGAGGAGAAGAAAAAGTGGACCATAAGGAACTGGAGGGGAACTGGAGCAGGACATGGAGGAAAAGGGCAAGTGGATGCAGGAGGCGTGCTCTCGTTGTCCGCCCCGCTGCGCCTGCATCCGTGGCGTCAGCTGCTGAGGGGGCGTGCCAACCAGCGCGTTCGGCTGCGCGGCCAGGGCGGGCATGCAGACCGAATGTGCCTCCACAGCAGCGGCCGTCGTCGCCGCAATCGTGGTCGCCGTCGCCGTCGTCGCTGTCGTGGTCGCCGTCGCCATCGTCGCCCTCGCCGCCGCCACCGTCTTCCTCTTTGTCGTCGTCGTCGTCGTCGTCGTTGCCGCCGTCGGCGTCCGGGCCTTCGGGAGCCCCTCTCGCCGGCGCCAGGTGGGGAAGGGAGGGCTTGCAGGCAGAGCATGGCGGCGCACGGCCCTGAGCTATCAGTCGCCGACGCCCGAAAGCGAGCGAAACGAGGGCCAGAAGGGCGAGCCACGACAGGATCCGACCGGGAACGGGAAACGGGCCACGGACCCCCGCCCCCAGTCTCTGAGCATCATGTGAAAATCGTTCTGAACTCAGCTTCTGGCAAGACACTTGCGTGCACAGTCTGGCGCAGGCGGGATGGGCGGGACTGCAGCAGCGCGCCCCCGCCTCCACAGAAGCT